TTCTTTTTCATGGGTCCAGATGATGAAGATATCAGTATAGCGCAAGTAGAGTAGGGGCATTAGGGGACGAGAGCTACAGATACAATTAACTTAGGTTTGAATAGAGACTGGGAGTGGATGTGTCATTACACAAAGTAAAACTATTTCCCCATGTTTATTTTCCCCACCCCCACTCCCCATTGCTCCTCTGACGTTCCTGTTAACTGCTGGAAATGGCCCATCTTGATTACCACTACAAAAGGTTCCCCCCCCCCCCCCCCCCGCCAGCTCTCCTGCTGGTAATAGCTCATCTTAAGTGATCACTCTCCTTACAGTGTGTATGATAACACCCATTTTTTCATGTTCTGTGTGTATATAAATCTCCTCACTGTATTTTCCACTGAATGCATCCGATGAAGTGAGCTGTAGCTCATGAAAGCTTATGCTCAAATAAATTGGTTAGTCTCTAAGGTGCCACAAGTACTCCTTTTCTTTTTGCGAATACAGACTAAAACGGCTGCTACTCTGAAACCTGTTGGAAGACAGGATACTGGGCTAGAGGGACCTTTGATCTGACCCAGTATGGCCACTCTTATGTCCCCTGGACTCAACCAGCCACGTGCAGTGGGATTCCATGACATACATGGCTCTGTGCTGCTGGGTGCTGGCAGATCCAGGACATGGCCAGAGATTTATGGGCAGTGCCAGGGCCAGACCTCCATTGGGCTGAGCAGGGAGACTGGCTTGCTGCCAGGAGCAGAATTAGAAATGGCTGGCACAGAGCTGGGGGGCAGGGGAGGAGGGGGCTGCTGCGGAGCTGCAACTCAGCTGGACACTACACAGCCAGGGAGCACAGAGTGGGGAAGGGGGAGGTGTGGGCTGACCCCCGCAGAGCCCCTCAATCCCAACCCGCAGCTCCCTGGCCCCTGCTAGTCCTGGGCTTCCCCCCCAGGCAGCTCTGCCAGTGCCCCTCAATCCCAACCCACAGCCCCTGCTATCCCAGCCCTGGACTCCCCCTCAAGTTCTCTGCCAATGCCCCTCACTTCTGACCCACAGCACCTGCTGTGGCAGCTCCCCACTGCAGCCCCGGGTCCCTTGGCTGCTCTCTTGCTGTCACACCTTGAGCCTGCAGATAGTGACATGTTTCAGCGATAAACAAAAGTGGTTTGGGCTGGGCTGGTAGGAGAGACCTGCTTGGAGCTGAGCAGGCGTAGGGCACGGGGTGTTGGCTCTGCACCTGGCTTCCCTTTAATCACCAACTCAAGGCGGGGAGGGGGGGATTAGCCAGTGTTCCCTGGAGGGACAGTAAATCTGGCCCAGTAAACAGGGATGGGGGTCAACAGCCCTGGGGCGGGTGACGGGGTCCAAGGGGCAGCCCATCTCGCTGGGATGCAGCCAGCCAGGGAGCCCAATGCATCCCGCTGCCACGGTGCTGTGTGTAACCCCGCAGCCTGTGGGCCCCACCCCACATGAACACCAAACGCCAGGGCATTGGTACCTACTGCCCAGCAGGGAAGCACTGGGCCCCATGGGGCAGAGCCGTGGTTATGCAGGCAGAGCCAGTGCCATCACATCTGTGCCACAGGAGAGGGGGGATACAGAGTCCTGAACTGTGCCCAGGGCTCTGGGAGTTTGAGATGCCCAAACCCCCACAGCCAGAGCCTTCCCATCCCCTCCATGGTGGGGGGGGCACTGCCCCTTTTGTGGGACCCTGGACATCCCTGTTACCCAGAGAGAGGCTTGCTGCATGCTGAGGCCCGGCCCGACCCAGTCCGGTGGCAGGGAGTTCCCCAGGCTCAGTGGGTGTTGTCTGAAATCAGCTCCCCTGGGAGCAGCCTGAAATGTATGGCTCTATCTTACTGCTCACCCCTGCTCTGCATCGCCACCTGCCCATGGAGCCCTGCGCCGAGCAGCACCACCCATGGACCTGTCTCTGAGCAGGGACATTTAGTGCAGACACAGGGAGGGGTCTGAGGAGGTCAAATGACGTCCCTCCCCTCCCACCCCCACCACCCAGGTGCATGAATCTGTATCAGCCCCAGAGACCCACAGCTTCAGCAGCAGGGGGACAGCAGCTAGGCCAGGGCCAGCCTTTCCCACAGCAGCTGCCAGACATCCTGGGAATGGCCTCTTGTGTGTCATTCCCTGGGGCCTTAAAGCACAATGGCTTTATTTAAATGCGGCCTGAAGAGCCTCCCACCAGGCTTCCTCAGCAGCGCCTGGGCTCTGGCCCCCCAGCACGGAGTGCGACCGCCTGAGCTGCGGGACTGACTGCGCTAGCTGGCAGCAGCAGGAGACCGTTATCCAGGCTGGCTGGGGATGGGCTGTGAGGGGGGGCAGGTACTTGGGGTTCTCAGGGCTCTCCCCCTCATTAGGGGCTCTCCCAGCCCCTCTCCCAGGGCCGTGCTTGTTGCTGCTGCCACGGCTTCAAGGGCCTTGGCGTGAGCCCAGCTCTTCAGAAGGTTCATGGCCAGTGATGATTTCGGCCGCGGCCCCCTTTTCCCTGCGCCGGCGAAAGATGGGAAATGACGGATTTTTAACACGCATTTTGGCCAAGCCCGGTGGATTTTCACTGCCAGCAAAGGCACTGCTGGAGCCAGGGTCTTTCTGTGCCAGATGGCAAAGGCCTGCAGCAAACGATGAGGGTGGGGGGCGACAAGGAAGGACTCTTAGAATGGAAGGTGTAGGGCAGCCTAAGTACTGGGTGCTCCCCATTGCTCCTAACCAGGCACCCATCAGTGCCCTGGCACCTGCTGTTCACCTGCCCTCGCCCGGTCTCTGAGACGGTTTCTGCTCAGGACAGGACTTGGCCCTCTCACGCTGGCACCACCTCAGCCTGGCCACCATGGCCCCTGGGATGGCTCTTGGGGTGCCCAGGGTTGGGCATCACCATGTTACCCCCTGCTGCCTCCAGCCACAGACAGACTTGCTGGTGCTTAGTTGGGTGCCAGCTCCCTGATCCCTCCAGCCTGGCAGCCACTAGGCCAGCCTGTTACCCGGGGTTCTTTCAACCCAAAGCTCTTGGTAACTTTTACTCTGTGCAAGGTGGTGTCAGCCAGGGCCGACCGATCAATGGCTGGCACAAACAGGACAACACAAGAGGGCTTTCACTTAAAGCTAAACTTTACTTAGCGGCACCAGGAAATCACCCCCAACCCTTGATCATTACCAAAGCTGAGTGTGGCTCTCGAGTGGCACAGCGGCAGCCCGTCTGCTGTCTGCCGGTGGGGAACACAAGATGCTTCCAGAGGGAGAGTCCAGTCCCGAAGAGTCCCCCTACCTCAAACTTTCCCTCCTTATTTAGACATGAGTAATAGCATGACATGTCCCTTAAAGAAAACTTGTTAAGCAAGCAGTTCCAATGGGCAAGAAAGAGGCTCCTTCTGATTATTGATTAACCAGGGGTGGGTTTTTCCAGAGTTTTCAGCCTTGAGGCCCCAGTAGAGATTCCTGGGGCAAATCCTGCTCTTCTAAAATGCGTGTATCAGCAACTTCAACACAATTCATATCAGGAAGGATGCGGGGTCAAGCTGCCCTTTCTGTGGCACCCAACTCCCCCACCCCCCACCCCCAGCCTTGGTTAAACTGAGACTGTTGAATGGCCAGCTTAGAGCCTGCTGCCTTGAAGCCATACTGGTTTCAGGCACTTTACTGGTTTGCCAAAGTCTCCGCTTACAAGCCCACGTTTGCCTCGTGGGTGAACAGCTGGGCCTGAGCCCCTCAGAAAACCTCCTGCTGTGGTGTGCTGCCCCCTCTCCATTGAGCACACCCCATAATGCTGGGGCTGCAGCCCCCATGGGACCGGGGCACACACCAGCGTGCCCAGTTCCGCTGCAGCCCCTTGCATGACAGGGGCTGGTCCCAGAGAGGCCCGTGAGGAAGGGCAGTGGCAACAGAAGGGTGCCACATAAACCAAAAGCAACACCTGGTGTCTGGAGCCTGCCCTAAACCCACCTCCCCAGGCTAATCTGGCTAAAGTGTACCCGCACTGCCCAGGTGCAGGACAAAGTGGGTCTCTCTGCATTCTGTTCATAGCCCCAAAGTTCATTCTCTGTCCTCTGAGTCTGGATAGCCCCCTTCGCTTAGTGTCAGGCATGTTGCTGCCCTGTTGATTTCACCAGCGCACAGCCTGGGTGCTGCGTTCCCCTCCCCCCACCCCTCCATGCAGAGACTGGGTGCTGAGTTCCCCCCCCAGCACAGACTGGTGCTGGGTCCCCCTGCAAAGACTGGATGCTGGGTTCCCCCCCACCCCATGCATAGATTGGATACCCTTCAATCCCAAGCCGCAGCCTCCAGCTACCCCAGCTCTGAGGTCCCCACCATGTCTTGGACCCATTTGCAGTACAGAAGCCCCCTTGCCAGCCCAGTTATATTTAGTGGCTGTGTGCAGCCGCGTGCCTTGGCCACTTGTTGACAGTTTCCAATTACAGCTGTGCGCGGAGGTTCGTGTCTTGAGGCCTTTGGCATCTGGGGTCAGCAACAGGCCACATGCCGGAAACACAGCCAGGAAACAGGGTGCAAAGCCAGCCCTGTTCCTGTACGGGATGTGCACCGTGGGGCTCAGCCCCCACGCCTCACAGTCTCCACCACAGGGGCTGACCCCACTGCTCATGCAGCCCCACCATGGGGAGTCTCAGTCCCTCCCCTCACCTCATGCACCTCCACTGCAAGTCCCTGCCCTCCTGCCCTATACAGCCACGGGGCTCAGTTCCTGCCCTCCTGCCCATACATTCCCATCGTGGGCAGCTGGCCCAGCTCAGAGAGTCCATGGTGGTTGCGGCCAATAACATCAACCTGGGGCCTGTCGGACGAAAGCAGCGACTGAGGAGCGGGAATGGGCCGTGGGTCTGATCTGGGGCTTTGTGGGTCATGGGGGATGGTGTCAGGCAGGTGGACCTATTGCTCTGGTATGCTGAAGGAAGCTCCGAGCCGCTAGTGTTAGGATTGTGCTTTTATTCCCTCCCCCCGTCCCCCTGCCATCTCTGCAATCCCCCAGGCCTGGCCCCCAGCACCAGCCTCTGGCCATGGTCCCTGCTAAGCAATGTGTCCTGCAAGTCCTTGGTCCCTGCGGCCCCTTGGCCGTGGCGGGTGCCTGTGCCTGGCGGCAGTGCCCATGAGGCTGGGCTCAGCGGCAATGGCTACTCCCCCGCAGAGTCCTGCCTCCACGGGCAGCGCCCGGCTCCTTGGGTTCCAGCCAGGGGCACTTGATGTGGGCCATGGCAATGCTGGCTGGGCTGCGCTGGCTGGGGTCAGGGGTCAGCAGCCCTCGCAGCATCTCCTGGGCCTCGTAGGTGAAGCACCCCCAGCGGGGTGGGCGTGGGCGGACGCGGGGGCTGCGATGCCAGCGCTCAAAGTCCCGGTAGTGCCGGTCGGCGGCCGTGTGCCAGGGGAAGAAGCCAGTCAGCACGCAGAAGAGCAGCACGCCCAGGGCCCAGGCGTCCAGGCTAGGCTGGGCCGGCAGGCGGGCCGAGGGCCCCAGGAGGCACAGCTCGGGTGCCGTGTAGGGCAGGTTCTCAGGCAGGGCCTCGATGGCAGTGCCCTGCGGGCAGCTCAGCCCAAAGTCGGTCAGTTTGACACGCCGGCACTCAAGGTCGAGCAGCAGCACGTTCTCAGGCTTGACATCGCGGTGAACCAGCCCCTTGGCCCCCATGAACTCGAGGGCGCTGGCGAGCTGCAGAGCACAGCGCTTGACATGCAGCTCCGCGAGCCCGAACCCCACCTAGGGAATCACAGAATCATAGAATATCAGGGTTGGAAGGGACCTCAGGAGATATCTAGTCCAACCCCCTGCTCAAAAGCAGGACCCATCCCCAATTAAATCATCCCTCAGCACGGGGGAGAGAGGTTACACACAGTGCCCTGGAGGGGAAGGGCTCTGGGTCCCACTGGCCACCTCAGGGCCAGCCAGTCCCTGCCCTGGGCGGATGGGAGCCACCCCCCGCCACCCCCAGCGGGGAAAGGCCTCCTGTCCCATTCCCTGTGCCTGCCTTGGGGCTGGATCTGAGTTGGTGCCCAACAGAGGGGAAAGGTCCCATGTCCCAATCCCCACCCCTTGAGCCAGCCAGTCCCCGTCCTAAGGCTGGGTGGGGCGTCCCCTAAAGGGGACAGGCCCATGTCCCATGCCCGTCCTCAGTGTGGCTACATCGGAGACTCTGGCTCATAGTACCTGTGGCTGCAGCAGGGAGAAGAGGTCCCTGGCAGGGGCGAGCTCCTGCGCGAAGACATAGTGGTGCTCGGTCTGGAAGGCGATGCCCAGGGCGCTGGCAATGCAGGGGTGGGCGGCCAGGCTCAGCGAGATGCAGTACTCGCTCAGGAAGTCCCGCAGCTCAGTGTCCCGCTTCTCGATGAACTTCAACGCCATCGGCCTGCCTGGGGGGGAGGGACGTGCGAAGAAGTCAAGGCTGCTGCCCCCCCCCCCGCCAGATCATACCCCCTCCCCTATGCTGGATCAGACCCACATATTCTCCACACCCCCCCCATGGATCAGCCCCCTGCCACCCCACGCTGCTCTGTGGGGCCAAGGGCTGTCAGGCTGTAGGATCCCAGGGCCCAGCAGCTAACCAGGTGTGGAGTCGGGGGGCAGAGGGGCTCAGTGCTCCATGCCTGGCCCTGGACAGGGCTCCCCCTCCCCAGCCGGTGCCCATCACGGAGTGGGCTCAGTGCTGGCGCTCCTGGGGGAACAGGAGCAGTGGGTTCTGTGGGAGGTGGGGCCACATGGACACAGACTGCCCCCCCCCCCGGGGCAGCCCAGGCCCTACCTTGCCGCTGGTGCACGGCCAGCAGCACTTGGCCATAGGAGCCGCTGCCCAGCTCCCTCAGGATGGTGTACGACTGGGTCACCTCCAGCCTGGGCAGGTTCTGCGCCGTCAGCTCCATCATCTCCTCCAGCTGCTGCTCTGCGCCCCACGGGGCGGGCAGGGTCATGGCTGCGGGAGGGGGAGGGATGGGGTTGTTACCACCGGGAGCAGTGCCCAGACGGCCCCCGGGGGACACGGACATCACCAGCCCAGCACTGAGACACGGCTGGCGTCGGCACCTTTGCTTCGCCATGCTGGCCTCAGGGCTGCCCACCTACGGTAACCAGGCATCCGGTTTTCGACTGCAACACCTGGTTGAAAAGGGATCCTGGTGGCTCTGGTCAGCGCCGCTGACTGGGCCATTGACTGACCAGTTGGCCGCGGGGTCTCAGAGGAGGGGCAGGGCAAGGGTATTTGGTTTTGTGAAAGTAGAAAGTTGGCAACCCTATGCCCATGCCGTGCCCAGCTGGCTAATGCACCCTGATCCGTTTGGGGACGCCTGGGCCCCTGCACAGCAGACAAGTCTCCCCCAGGGCTCTGGCTCAGGTGGGCTCACTGGGCAGAGCTCACAGGGTGGAGCAGGAGGCTGGAGCTTGGGGGCGGTGAGGCCAGGTGGCCTGCCCTGAAGGGCGAGTGAGACCCCTCGGGGGTTTGGCACTCAGGATTCCTCCAAGAGACAATTTAAAGGCTGGGGCATAGCACTGCTCCTGTGGATCCGTGACAGCTGCTTATACAGGGACCCCTCGCCCTGTGCTGAGATGCGACTGCCTCTGGGGAGGGGTACGGGGGGCTGTTTATACAGGGACCTCGCCCAGTGCTGAGACGTAGCCACCTGTGATGGAGTACAGGGTTTGTTTCACACAAGGTTATGTCCCATTGAATAACAGCCCCTCCCAAGCCCCTTGGGGCCTGACAGCAGCTTCTCCATCCCTCTCTGCATGGGCCTGGGGCACCAAGACATGGCTTCCTGTAGATGCCCAGCTGTGGACCAAGGGGACATACCCCCCACACTGGGCTCCCCTTCCAGCCTGTGGAGTTTGGACAGACTCCAGGTCCCACTGATGCTCTGCACCTAGGGAAGAACAGCTCCCTTGTCCCGGTGACACCTCTTCCTGCCCCACTGAGCCTGAACTGCCCCAGGCCCCTCTACAACCCTGGGTTCGGGCACCAAATTCATACCGGCAGCAAACCCTGTATCACTTCCGAGCGCAGTCAAGGCCTTAGTCAGAGGCAGAGCCAGGGAAGCAACCTGGCTCCCAGCCCTCCTGCTGGAATCACTAGACCCCACTCCCCTCCCAGAGTTTGGGATAGAACCCAGGAGTCCCGGCTAATACCTGGACTTGCTCAGGGGAGGAAGTGGCCCTGGTGTCAGTGCCCCAGCACCATGTGCAGTGAATGTGGGACCAGCAGCCCTGGACACCCCCTGGCATCTTCAGGCTGGGAGCTGCCAGCAGCAAGAGAAGGGCAGCATTGAGAGGCCCACCCAGATAAATCAGTGGAGCCCTGTGGGCTTGGGGGGCACCAGATGAAAGAGGGACCCCACTTACCTGCCTCCTGGAGCTGGAGCCCCACAGTATGCACAGGGGAGCCGCTGATTCCAGCCCTCTACCTTCCCGTCTGTCTGTCCGCTGGCCTGGGATGAGCCTTTTATCCCGTCCACCCCAAGCTGGAAAGGGTCCCGTGGTGGCTGGCAGATCCCAGCTGGCAGTGCGGGCCAGGGGTCGGGTGCGGTCAGCGCCGGGGGCTGGCACTCGCTGGGCTGGGATTAGCAGGCACTTATCTGGGTTATTTTTACCAGCTGGCACTGGATACTCCAGTCCCCCAGCCCCCACTCTCATTTACTGCTCCCTTCCCCTTGGCCCCCCAGTACCCTCTGTCCAGGATTAGCTTGTCCCAGGTGTTCCTGGAAAGTCAGCTCCTGACAGCAGCGGAGCGCCCCACCCTGGAAACCCACTGGGGAGCTGGAGCAGGGCAGAGACCCTGCTGGCGTGAAGCTCCAGGAAACACCTTCCCCCCAACAGAGCCCAAAGCATTTTCTGCCACGGTATACAGGGACCCCTTGCCAGGCACGGAGATACAGCCACCTCTGGGGTGGTGCACAGGAGCTGTTTATACAGGGACACCTTGCCGGGCACTGAGATACAACCCTTCTGGGCTGGGAGCAGGGGCTGTTTAAATGGGGACCTCTCGCCCGGCACTGAGATGCAGCCACCTCTGGGGTGGGTGTGGAAGTGGTGGACTAGCACCTGGACAGGCTGCATGGGCATAGGGAGGTGGAGATGGGAACATTTCTCAAGAAGGAAGGTAGCCAGGATTGTCCAGGACGTGTGGTTCATGCCGAGACATCAGAGAACATATCTCCCTCACACTGCAATGTGAGAACCCCACATACAGTCTGGGCCTGTGGTGTTACTTTTGGTAAGACAGATATGAGGCCCCTTTCACCACATGGGGGCACTGGGGGTAAGCACTGACTGCTGGGAATTGCCCCCAGCCAGCCCCCATCCCAACACTGGGTTGTCCTTGGCAGAATCTACCAGGGGGGCTGGGAGCCAGGACTCCTGGGTTCTATCCCCGGCCCTGCTGGTACAAGCTGCCACCCCTTTATCTTCCCCATGCCCCCTGCAGATCCTGCCCTGCCTGCCAGGTATGCTTCCTGCTGGAGACTCTGGCTTGTGAGGGGCAGCGTGGGGGGCCCTGCCAGTCTGGGGAACTGCAGAGGTTGGGGTCAGCTGGGGAAGCTCTGGGGCACTCATGAGCAACTGAGCCCCCCACCCCCACAGGGTCGAGTCCCAGAGGCCTGCTCCCGCCTCCCTCTGTTGTTTGCCTGAGTCTCTGGGTGGGGGGAGGAAGGGCAAAGGAAGCCTGGGGGCAGGGCAGGGACGGCTCAGGCGGGCATCAGAGACTTGGGCCGTTCCTGTTCCCAGAACCACGGCAACATGGCCACAACAAAGGCCTATTCTGGGATCCCCTCAGGGGGTCTCTGTGCTTGTGCCATGGCGACAGTCCCAGATACAGCACATGGCATCTGCTCTGGGCAGGGGGTGGTGGTGGTGGCAGGGACAGCATGTGACTCCCCCACCACTAGCCCCCCACCCTCTGGGCCACATGCAACCTCCTCAGCATGGGGCCTTCCCCTGGGAACAGGTTGGCTTGGGGACACCACGCCCGGTGGTAACAAGACCAGGCTGGGCTGCACTTCGCAGGCACCAGATGCCAACGAACAGGGGGCACCAGACCTGGTGAGACTCGGCCACCCCCCCAGCTCCCAGGCAGGACAACCAGGGCCATGCTCCTGCTCTCTGCCCAAGGGCCAGACCCCACAGACACCAAACCGCCTTGGGGTAGTGTGGGGACTTTATACGGGGACCCCTTCCCTGGTGCTGAGATGCAGCCACCTCTAGTTTGGTGCAGCTGTTTATACAGGGACCCCTTGGCCAGCGCTGAGATGCAGCCACCTCTGGGATAGGGCAGCTGTGCATACAGGGACCCCTTGCCTGGCGCTGAGATGCAGTTCTACGTGGGCTGTGGAGGTTTGTCCAGGCCCCAAGCTTCACTCCCAGACTCCAGGGGGAAACGACCTGGGTTAGGGAACCCTCCACAACAGTCTGAGTCCTTAATATTAGTTTTTCAACACCAGCCATCAGGTCCAAGAGGGGCAGCCGGGGCCACCAGCGACTGTGAGGGGAGAGTGCCTTGTGACAAAGGTGGGGATTGTCTGTAGCATTTTATGAACTGTCTGTGTGACTCTGTACTGATCTCCTTGGATAGTATTCAAGACAGAGAGCCGCCAGGAGGACTGGCTGGGCTGGTGTGGGCCCTGCGAAGGCTGAGCCAGGCTGCCTGGGCTGGCCGAGCCAGGCTGGCTGGGCTGGTGAAGCACCAAGGAAGGCAGAGCCGGGTCTGCTGGGCTGGCGTGGGCCCTGTGAAGGCACAGCCGGGCTGGCTGGGCTGCGGCGGTGCCAGGGAAGGCAGGATTCCTGGCCAGCTTGGTCCCATTCCCCTTCTTCCCTCCTACCTGTCAAAACTGCTCCCATTCAACACCATCCCGACTACTGAGTTGGGACCATCTGATTCCTTGTCCCCCAGCCTCAGCTGCCCCTCCAGCTCCACTGCCCACTAGTGATCAATCTCAATATTTCTCCTCTCTCTTCTCCCCAGTGGGGGATAGTGGGGACGCACCCATTGTCCAAATCACCCACAACTCTTACACAAGCAGGGTCAGGAACTGGGACAGTGCCTGTGGGGGGAGGAGATTCTGGCTGGTGTGTGACAAACAAACCCATCTTGGGGGTCCCAGATCACAGAGAAGAAAGGTTCCCGTTAGGGGTGGTGGATTATCATGGACAAGACCCTTGGCAGGGAGTGGGGATGCTGGGAAGGGGCAGGACAATTTATGGGGAACATTTGTACCTTTTCTCTGCCCTAGAGCTGCTCTCGGATGTCCTTGAGACCAGCCTCCTCTATGGCCATGTCCACCCGTTCCTTCTCCTCCTCATCCTCTGAGTCCCTGGGAGTCCCTGCACCAGGGAGAGAAGGGGACAGGGTGACTCCTGCTGCCACTCAGGGGAAGGACAGGGGCGTAGTGGGGAGAGCAGAGTTAATGTTCCCTCTTCCCACCTCAAGGACCCAGGGCAAATTGGGCCCCACACTCCCCCTCTCGGGGATGCCCCTAGTAGAGGAGCCCCCCTCCCCTCCCCCGCCACTGTGCTGGATTCCCTGGGAGGTGCCTGCCCCCCAGGCTGGGCTGCGGCAGCACCAGGGAAGGCAGAGCCGGGCTGGTGTGGTTCACTGATTGTTACCTGCAAGTTAGTTTTAGTCTGGCAGAGTCTTGAAGAGTTTGCTGGCAAGGTAGAGAGGCTGGCGTGTCTGGCACAGGGTAACAGTGGCTGATGGTTCTGGGTGTCCTGAGCAGAACCTCAAAGATGGAGAAGTAGTTAGTTCCTGTTTGTTTCACATTCACAGACCCATAGCAACATAGCCAAAGTGGGAGGAGAGAAGAGAGTGTAGCAGGGGAAGTGCTGGGGTGGGACCCAGTTCAGTTCCCAGGTCTCTCCCAGGTTTGTGGGTGAGATCTAGGGCAGGTCTCTGTTGGACAAAGGACAGTCTCCTGCTCCTTACAGTAATTTGTGTCCACGGAAGAGAAGGGCTGATTCCCTCCTTGTGACTCGCAGCAGCTCCCTAGGAAGGAGCCACTGCTCTTCTCTGCAGACCTTCTCCTGGATCTCACAGGAGTCTGATGCTCTCACTCTGCAAGCCTGCCTAGGGCCCTGGAGTTAGTGCTCAGCAGAACCAGGCAGAGCCCTGTCTTAGAGCACCAGCGCCTTCCCTCTATCCCTGAAGGAGGCAGGGCCCCAACACTGCTCTGCACTGACTGCTCTGACTAAGGGTGGCCCAATGTGCTCTCAGGTAGCATGACAGGTAGGATGGTGTGGATTGCACTCTCAGCAAATTTGCGGATGATACTAAACTGGGAGGAGTGGTAGATACGCTGGAGGGGAGGGATAGGATACAGAAGGACCTAGACAAATTGGAGGATTGGGCCAAAAGAAATCTGATGAGGTTCAATAAGGATAAGTGCAGGGTCCTGCACTTAGGATGGAAGAACCCAATGCACAGCTACAGACTAGGGACCGAATGGCTAGGCAGCAATTCTGCGGAAAAGGACCTAGGGGTGACAGTGGACGAGAAGCTGGATATGAGTCAGCAGTGTGCCCTTGTTGCCAAGAAGGCCAATGGCATTTTGGGATGTATAAGTAGGGGCATAGCGAGCAGATGGAGGGACGTGATCGTTCCCCTCTATTGGACATTGGTGAGGCCTCATCTGGAGTACTGTGTCCAGTTTTGGGCCCCACACTTCAAGAAGGATGTGGATAAATTGGAGAGAGTCCAGCGAAGGGCAACAAAAATGATTAGGGGTCTGGAACACATGACTTATGAGGAGAGGCTGAGGGAGCTGGGATTGTTTAGCCTGCAGAAGAGAAGAATGAGGGGGGATTTGATAGCTGCTTTCAACTACCTGAAAGGGGGTTCCAAAGAGGATGGCTCTAGACTGTTCTCAATGGTAGCAGATGACAGAACGAGGAGTAATGGTCTCAAGTTGCAGTGGGGGAGGTTTAGATTGGATATTAGGAAAAACTTTTTTACTAAGAGGGTGGTGAAACAGTGGAATGCGTTACCTAGGGAGGTGGTAGAATCTCCTTCCTTAGAGGTTTTTAAGGTCAGGCTTGACAAAGCCCTGGCTGGGATGATTTAACTGGGAATTGGTTCTGCTTCGAGCAGGGGGTTGGACTAGATGACCTTCAGGGGTCCCTTCCAACCCTGATATTCTATGACTCTATGATTCTATGACACAATGGAAATGTGGATCATCCAGTCTCTCATTTCCAGGTAAAATTCCTGTTGCCCCTCCCCATTGTGCTCAACTCCCAGATGTGCTGGAGGTTGCTGTCAGCAGGCTCTTCAGCATGGCATCCATGGACCAGAGGCCTTCCTGCTCCTGGGACAGAGGAGTAGGTTGATGATCTACCTGCCCATGGCCATGGTTTATACTCCATGCAGGGCAGTGCACAGGAACTGCGATTTCCTGTTTCGGATCTAGTGGCAGCTTCAGGAGACTGTATATGAGACCTTGCAGTTGGGGGGGGGGGTCCAGACAGGCACTGATTTGGGTGTGGAAGTTTGAGGAATAAGGCAGAGGCCCATATGGGGCAAGGAGGGCAGGGACTTGGGAAGCAAGAGCAGAGGATCAAACACTTTCTAAATGCGGGTCAGAATTATCCCCACCTTCAGAGATGCCCCGAGGGGTAAATGGCTCTTACCTCCACGAGGGGGCAGGTCTTCCATTTAAGCCACTTTGAGACCCAGCACTGCTTGGGTGGATGGGACGAAGTGACCTGTCCCCACTGCTCCCTGAGGTGGCTCAGCTGCAGGCTGCCCCCGTCTGGGAGGCGGTGACAGATCCCAGGGCCTGGGAGACAGCTGGGGAGAAGGCTCCTATCCATTTCCCACTCGGAGACCCCGTGGAAGGGCCAAGGGGAGAATAAAGGGCGGAAGGTGAAGCTACCCCTGAGTCTCTGTCCCATCCCCATCTCCTCAAAAGTGGAGCTTTCCGAGCTTCAGTTGGGCAGAGGGGCTGTAGCCATGACCCAAAGACCTCTCTGCACCATATGGGTCAGGGAGAGCTCTGCCTGGGCGCAGGGGGAATGGGATGGGGGTCAGGCCAAGGAATGGGGGGAGGGGAAAGAGAGTGAGAGGAAGAGCTCATGCCCCAGATGAAGGAATTTTGGGGGCAGAGGGAAGGACCCTGCTCCACAAAGAGGGGAGAGAATTTCTATCACTGCCGGGGGGCTCCATTTCCCCATCCACTAGCTCCCCATTTACAGTGAGCCAGAGCAGGACCTGCAGCAGGGAGCGGGAGTTGCTGAACATGGGAGGGGAACCTTTCAAGGCATCCGATGTGGCACAGCCCCTGCAGCGCCTCGTGCAGCAGACGCAAGGGCCGGATGACGCGGAGCTGGTGCCTAATATTGGCCGTGACGTCCTCCTGCTGCAAGGGAACGAGAACGTGTCATAGACTCAGGATTAACCATAGGCACCAACTTTAGCCGGCGCCGGTGGGTGTTCGTGCCCCCTGCCCCCAGCCCCGCCCCAACTCCACCCCCTCTCCGCCCTCGGCCCCGCCCCCATTCCAACCCCTTCGCCAAAATTCCCTGCCCTGCCTCCTCCCCTGGGCACGCCGCATTTCCCCTCCTCCCCGGCAAGCCTGGGAGGGAGGGGGGAGAAGCGGAGAGGCGGCGCGATCAGGGGAGGAGGTGGAACAGAGGTGAGGGGGGGGGGGGCCTCAGGAAGTAGCCTGGGGGGGCGCGCAGAGGAACCGCTCCCTGCCCCAGCTCACCTCTGCTCCGCCTCCTCCCCTGGGCGCGCTGCCACCTCTCCTCTTCTCCCCCTCCCTCCCGCTCCCAGGCTTGCCGTGCCCTTGAACCGGGGAGTGGGGGGGGGGGAGAAGCGGAGCGCTGCGCTCAGGGGAGGAGGCAGAGGTGTAGCGGAGGGGAGCTGGGGGGGGGCCAGTGCTGAGCACCCACCAATTTTTCCCCGTGGGTGCTCCAGCCCCGGAGCACCCACGTAGTCGGCGCCTACGGGATTAAGGGCACCTGGAACCAGCAGCATTTCCCCCCAGCACCTGTGCACGTCCGAGGGATGGATTCACCCTCCTGACCCCCAGGATGGAGTCTTGTTGTCCTCTCTAGCGGCTTCCAGTACCAACCCCTGTCCCTGTAGGGTGAGCTCCTGCCGTGTCCCCCTCAATGCCCCTGACAGCTGTTCCACTCCCGACCCACCTGGGGATACAGCTCAAGTTCTCAGAACCCTCTCCTCCACCCTCACCCCCACCCCTACCCAGGTAGGGCAGGGAGGGGGCTCCAGTGGGGGGGGGCAGGAGGGATTCTGGCAGCAGTGAAGTGGGATGGTGGGAGGTTGAGATCCTTCCCCAAGTCACACCAGTGACTAATGCTGAAGCCACAGGATGGCAGCCCTGGCGAATGGGCCAGGTCAGCAGCCCCTGCTGACCGAATCCTCCTGTTCTCTCAAGTGGGGGTCCAGCCCTGCCAGCAGCAGGACAAGCGTCCCCCGCCCATGTGCCTTGGCCCTGCCCGGTCAATTGCCGTCACCAGTCAGTCCTTGGCCTCTCAGGCTGCCAGTGATGGAAACAACTCTGGATGGTGGCTCGGGTGACACGGACACTAGGCCACGGGGAACTGGGTGCAGCCCTGTGGGGCAGGCAGGAAAGGCTCGCAGAGGGCACTTAGGGGACTCTCCTGCCCTTCCCAGGACTGATAGTATCGTGTCCTAAGAACGTAAATCCAGGATGAGGTAATGCTTGCAATTAATTAGCCTTGCTAAAGATGGCACCTGCTCCGACTCTCATTCCCCACCAGGCTCCTTGCTCCCAGGCCAGTGAATGGCGATAGGATGGGAATGAGGCCCTGGCCCCCCCCCCCCCCAATCTCCTGAGTCCAATGCAGCTGCTCACCTTGTCCCCCATCAGCTGCTGAACTTCCCCCAGGAGGGAGGAGGCCAGGACCAGCCCAGCCTGGCTGACAGGCAGCAGAGGGGAATGGATGGCCAGCACTGCCATCTGGAGGAAGAATCTTCTCTCCCCTCTGAGAAGAACTTTCCGAAGACCTGAAACCAAGAGGACGCAAGGCCTTACTTAGCAGGTTGCCCAAAGCCAGGCTCCACGTGCTGGGGCTAGAACGGCATCACCCTCTAGTGACCCAGGGGCAGAGAGCTGCTCCAGCCCAGGCAGCTCATTCCCTGGAGGCTTTCAGGGGCCCCTGGCTCAGGGAAGCCCTTTAGTAAAAGGTGGCAGGCACTAAGAGATCCAAAGCCTGTAGTGGCTCTTTCTGGAGGGCAATTTATCGCAGGGGCTGGGCTGGAAATGGCTCTGTGTGTGTGGGAGCAGGGATGCTCTGGTGTGCAGCTCACAGCGATGACAGAGGACCCTGCATTGCTTCCAGCAGAGAGATCTCCTGCACCTCAGTGGCTAGAGGTAGAGTGTATATGTGTATGTGTGTGTGTGGGGGGGGGGGAGTTGTGTTTGGAGCTGACAGACCAAAGCTCTATTCCCCCCCCAACTGAGTGATTTCTCTAGTAGCTGGGTCTGGCGCCTGCAGCTCCTGCGCTTCTCCCAAGGGGAATCCAAACTGCACCATGACAAGGACCAGGAGACTCAGGTCCCAGTCCCCAACACACAGACACGCCTGTGAACCTTTTGTTCTGGGGCAGCAGTTCAGCTCGTGGGAGGGAGGACAAGCTCAGTGTCTCTCTCACACGGCGTCTGCAGAGCAGCATTCTGTAGATGCACTTGTAGATCCAGGAGCCCTTCCAAGGCCTCCTCTGTGACGTTGTGGAGATCCCCCATTTCACCTTGGACTCCAATTCTGGGGCACTGTGTTATGGGGTGTTCAAGGGTTTGGATGTTCTCACCGCAGACGTGCGAAGGGGAGTCTTTGATTTTCTACCTGTGCATCAAGTAGCCACAACTTGGGTCAGTGATAATGGGCT